TAAGGATGTGGTTCATAAACTTAATTATCATAAAGTTAATAGCGCCTATTTTCAATGAGATAGTTCTCTTATGATGCAAAATAGATATCGATGAAAAAAAAATAAAGATTGCAACTTTTGTAATTAAACTCATAAAGAGAACTCTAACAAACCCTTTTAAATATGTAAAACAGATACTTCCTCGCTATTAAATGTTACTTTATTTACTTTACTTTCATTATTACCTAGGTGAATATGTTTCATATGTTTCAAACATCGTTTAAAGTTATTTTTTCTAGCTCAACTCAAATTATATCAATTATGCAAAACTGCAATTGTCCTACTTTATGTTAAGCAGACGATCATAAAATCTTGTTTACCTCCCAAGATGTAAAAGATTATAAGATAAGGGAGCCTTGAAATCCTAACTTTTTCCTTGTCTTTCTCTGGACTTATATCTACCATTAAGTGTTTTTGGAACAGAGTGGATCAAGCGTTTGAGCCGACGTGGGATCATTTTCATTCAAAACATAGAAATTGATTAGGTTTAGATATAGGTTTGTCAAAGGGTTGACCAAACATTTTCGGTTCCATTCAGGTACCCATGTATATTCGATTCGGTTCGGTTATTACTCATATCCAGTGGATAGTGTGACTGAGATCCATTCGGGTATTTAGTGGTATCCATAACCGAACCGAAACCCTTTTTTTTGTTCAGTTCGGTTCATCGGTTCCGGTTTTTATGCCTATGCCTAATTATATACATTGTAATATAGATATATATATATATATATATTTATCAACCACTATTATAATTAAAAAACCATAGATATTTTTTCCATTAAAGATATATCTAGTATACAAACATAATTTGAATACCACTGAAAATATTTGCCATAGTTTTTCATTTTCAAAAAATAGTTTTTAACCATTAAATCACAATAATTAGTTAAAATTATAACTTCATAATTTATTTTATATCATAATTTTTTTATATAAAATAAAATCATTCTTCGAATTATGCTTGTTCTTTGGATTTTATAAAGTTAATCACTTTAATATCATTATAAGGATGACTACAAGAAGAAACGAAACCTATAGCAAAAATTAAACAAGAATGATTGAAAACACCAATAGCAATTCAAACAAACCATGGAAGTTTTGTTCTTTCATCCCAATTCAAAATGTGAAAGCAACACCAGCTTTTTCACCAATGTTTTGTAAGCTCATGGCAAGAAATATAAGCCATATTCGTCCACAAGATATTGTTTTTTACAATTAAATCATAGCTAAGCCTAATTTTTTTTTTTTTTTTTTTTTGTGTTATCTTTGATCGTTATATTGTCGTTAACCAATTTTTCACTACCAATGGTAAACTATTCCCCTAAACCGAACTGTAACGTACTTATTAACCACTGATTCATTTAGAGTCTTCATCCGTCCCATCTGAAGCCAGACCGGAGCTGTTTCGATGCCGTTGTACTGTTGAATCACCCAAAACCGAAGCTCTCGTCGATGATTCCGGCGAAACCAACAAACTTCCGACATGTCGAAGCTCTAGGCATTCACTGTTCTCCCTAATCGCCAATGCAATCTCGCCTTATCATTGCATCCAATCATGTTCATATCATTGCAGTGGGAGAACCGGAGAAGAAGAAGAAGACCGAAAGTGGTTAAGTATGGTTGAGTATAAGTAAACCTCTAATTGAGAAAGAGGGTTTGTCCTTTCTCTTTAGTTTTCAATATGTTGTCGTTTTAACATTACTACTCTGAGAATGTACTCGGATCCCAGAGTGTCTAGGGTTTCCTCAGTATGAAAATTACATTATCAGTCTCTCTCAATCTTCTAAGCTTTTCTGTTTCTTCTTTGTTTGGGACATTAACCAAACACTAACTTTGGATTTAAGTCTATAAAAGCAAACATTACAAGTGAATTGAAGTCCAACAACCCACCCTCTCCCAAAACATTAAGCTCATACATTAGAGCCCAATAATAAAAGAGGAACACATGTCGACAAAGAAGGGTTGACGGAAAAGAAGCGCTGCCAACCGACCTAATCCACCGTCACGAAAGTCCACCATGCCGGACATGAAAATCGAACGGTGAACCAACCAGTTCCGACCTTACTTTCTTCATATCCACTTGAGAATTCCTTGGCATAGAAGAACCGTGGCAATCGATCAGTTTCTTCTTCTCCCCCACATGAAATCCATCTTCGACAACCTCAAAGCTCAGGACACTCCACTCAACTACCTTCATCAAAGCCCTTCGTCAGAGGAGAACGCATCATGAAATAATAAGCCCAACATTTTAATGACATCTGAATAATAATAAGCCTACTTCTTCCCAGATAGTAAGCCCACATGACGTGGAACGTAGGAAAATTATTATTGTCTTAGAAATTGTTGAGTTGTATTAATCGAAATGTTTTTATTGGATAACGATTTTAATGAGGTGTCAACATGAGAATAACTTTAAAAACTGAGGTGTCAGACCTGGAGAGACTATTAGTGTTTTTATTGTATTGACTAGGACGAAACTCGCGCTATGCCGCGAGATATTTTTTTGTAAATTATTTTTGTTACTAATGATTTTTGCTTAAATCAAGATTATGTAGTACCAGATCCACAATGAAATTTCTATTTTTGGTTTACACAATGAAAGTTGTCTTGCTTTTTTCTAACACAAACAAAAGAGTATCTAATCTTGAATTAAAAAAAAACAAATATGAAGTTAAAAACAAACCAAAGATATAATAAATTAATTATCTTTTATTAGACATCATTTGCAAATGTAAGAAATCACAATTTTTTTTTTTTTTCATTTTTGATAAAAAAGATAAATCACAGTATTTGTTACTAACCCTTCTTTGTGTACTTAAGAAATAGAGACATGATTCAAAATAAGTTGTTACTTTTTGTTTCATTTTAACTTTCTTTAATTTGCAACATATTATCCTACCCAAACATCACTCATGTACCTAAACTATGGTTATTTTGTCTATTAAGCATTTTCATGTTTGTGGGTTACACTTGTCAAATACCGCATAGCATAATAATTAGGTGGTTTTTCAAACAAAGCAATAGGTAGACAAAGAAATTTATACATGCCTTTAAATTTTAAAAAAGAGGCTTCCCAAGCCATTTTTTTGTAATTGATCAAAACTATATAAAGCGTTTTAACACATTATGTAACATGGATAAAAGATATATGAGCATAACGAAAATTGCAACCTTTTTAGTCATTAATGTAGCATACTACAACTACCTGATATCAATAAAACATGAAAAAGTGCATGAAATGTCAGAATAGCTAAGTCATTCGGGATCACTACCATGGCCAGGGGCGGATGTAGAGATAAAATTTATGCGGGGCAATATTAAATTTTTCAAAGAGTTTGAGGGTCAAAACTGCAAATAACAAGGGGCATAACTGAAATTGTTTAACATTTGCATTAAAATTTAAAAAATTAGCAGTGGCATCTGCCCCCTATTACACTACGTGGATCCGCCACTGACCATGGCTACAAGTAAAATCATTAGAGACAAGAATGCAGCCTAGGACACTAAAAAGCCAAACTCCTCTGCTGTGGAGAAGACACCAAGCTTTCAAGGTTCTCAATAGATAACGATATGAGTCCCAAACCCTTTGATTTAGAGAGCGAATTGGAGGTCGAAACCAACGCTACGCCGCATAACTATTTTTTATAATTTTTTTTTCATTTTTGAATAAGTTGTTTGACATCAAATGGTTTTTAGAGAACAACAAGCATGAGGTGAATGCATCAAGTGGTTTATGCCGCTGGGTAGTTTTTGTAAATTAATTTTGTATGAATTTTTTTTTCCGTCAAAAGTGAATTATATTGAATTTGAGAAATCATTACAAAGAGTTCGAGCAATCGGCTCAGGAGGGATTTCAGAGCTTGAGATAAAGGAGAGTCTGTCACAACTAAGTTTTGCTAAAAGATACGCAACTTGATTACAATCTCTCCTAGTATAAACAAACAAAGTTCTATCGAATTTTAAGGACCAATATACCATGTCTTGGAGAAGACTTTGAATATCGACATTTCTTTCTCTGCCTAAAATGTTGATTAGAACCTGATAATCCCCTTCGAAACAAATTGATGTGTATCGTTTACTCCACGTGTGTTGAAGAGCCGCTAATAATGCCTTTGTTTGAATATAAAGTACAAATGGTAAAAATTTAAAAGGTTTCTCAGATTTAGTATTTTACCTTTGTTAGTATTTTAATAGTTTTTATTTTATTATATTATATATGTACACATTAATAAATACTTTTTATATCTTACTTTTACAAAAGAAATGTACTGTATAGTTATTTTTTGAATTTGTTTGGTTTTATTTTTGTGTTTTTAGTATATTTTTAACTTTTTAAAAATTTTAGATTTGTCTTTATATTGTAATGTATGTAAATATTTTTCAGCGACTATTAACTTCAAGAATCTTAGATTCTTTCTTTAAAAGGTATTTATTGTAAAAACATAATTTGAATCAGAATAAAAACATTTAACATGTCTTTTATTCTCTTAATTTTTTTTTATCATTAGAACACAATAATTAGCTACGTCGGAGATTTTTTTTGTATTTTTGTTCGTTATATTGTATAGTCCAATTCAAATTTAATATTAATATTTCATAGCCCTAAATTTTATTAGGAATGATTCTGATATAACTGATTAATGAAATTCTTTAAATATCAACTGTTAAGAGGTGAAATTTGATATAAACTACTAAAATTATATAGATACCAAAGACAGAAATTATAAATGCGTTGTGGGAAGGGCATTATATTTGATTCCGAGTGTTGTTATTGTACCAAAGAGATTTGAGATTCCTTGTCATCTTTTTTTTTCTAAAAAGTTCCATCTATATACAAGCGATGCATGTTGAGAAAAAAATCATTTACATTGTGGAACATATTCTTTTTTTTTTTAATTTAAAATGATTAATGGCTAAGTTAATTAGATGGTTGGAGTTTGTTACGGTGGATAAAAAGAAGTTTAAGCTAAACCACTTAATTTATTCATTTGAGTACACAAAACACTCATTTAAAACCTTTCACAATACAAAACATAAGTCAAGCCACCAAACTTAAGAAGAAAAACTAATAACTATAAATGAGAAACAACAGGATCAAGCTTCAAAGCGAAAAGAAGCGTCAAGGAGAAGAGCAAACAATGCAAACAATGCGCTGAAGCCGCCTGAAGACACTTCTAGACTCTTCTCCAACTCATTACTCTTCTCTGCACCAACATTCATAATAATTTATTCGAGTCCTAATCAACCAAATACAGCACGAGTTTTTTTCCCCAAAATCAGAAGTAGGGTCTCACTCATGCTAAAAAGTACCAAACGAATTTTGAAATTTCTTAACCTCAATTTTCCCCTAATGAAAAAAAAAAAAAAAAATGTCACGTAAACCAAACAGACAAATTAAGGGATAGAGAGCAGAATTACAATAGCGCGTTGCAGCAGCACTGGCGGCGAGCCATTTCTCTTCATCTTCTGCTCTGTCTTTTTTAGATCTCAATCTCGATGTCTCAGAGTTTCATGTTTTTATTCAGAAATAAATGATGGAAACAAAAGATGATGCGTAAAAAAAGTAAAACGGAAAGATGATGTGTAAAAAAATAATGCTGAATCATATTAATGAAATGTTCTTATTGGAGGATAAAAAAGCGGAGGATAAAAAAGCTTATGTGTCACACCCTGAAAAGGCTGAAAAAGCTGAGGTGTCAGATCAGGAGAGAAACTAAGTGTTATTATTGTATTATATTGTGATATATATAAATATTTTTTTTGCGACTTTTATACTTCAAGAACCTTAGATTGTTTTTGTTAAAATTATTTATGGTACACAAGCAATATTTGAATCCTACTAAAAGTATTTTAATATACCTTTTGTTTTAATAAATATTTTTTTTTGACCATTAAATCAAAATAATTAATAAGCGAAGTATTTTGTGTGTATTTTTGTTTGTTTAACTTTAAAACAATTTGATTTTCGAATTAGATCAGATCAATATTATTATGGTGGACATTTTAACCGAACGAAACCAAACCTAGCAAACTAAACTCAAACCGATCCAAACCAAACCATAACTTACATTCAAACCATTCGATTATATTTTTTTCAACCCGAACCGATAACCCAATCTATTTATTTATTTAATTAAATAATAATATTGTAAATTCTAATATGTAATGCTTTACTAATACTAACGTTGCACTTGATTTAGAGCGTTAGATATTTTTTCATTTTCTAATTAATAAAATATAAAATTAGATTGATTTTGTTTAAATATCTCTCTACCTTTAAGTTTTTTTAAGAGTACATAACTAAAACCAAACCGAACCGAGCACAATATACATCGACCCGAACACAAGCCAAATCATTTCGAGAGGTTTTATAGTTCGTTTTGATCATTTTGTTAGAAAAAGTCTTTAAAATTAAGATCATATTCTTTTATGATATACATATAAATGTTTGTCTTCTTTTAAACCTTAAAAATTTTGCCAAACCCGATAGTTAGTATTTGGATTGTCTCTTTCTAGCATTAATAAAATTATCTAACTGTCAATAAATATTATGAAAATAAAACTACTTTTGAATTCTGAAACAAAAGATTAATGACATGAATTTTTCCTTTCTTTGAATGAAATGAGAGTTATATTATTTGTATTTGTTGTTGTATCTCATTATTTACACACAATCAACAACTGAACCTTTAGTCGCCTCATGTACATTCTATAATTTTAAACTCTAATTTTTTTGTTTTGTTATTCAAATTAAACTATATAAAGTCTAGAGGAACATGGCTGCATGTGTTTGATTATTTATTGTGCCAACTGTTTTTGAATTTCTAAGAAGCTCTAAGAGCTAATCAAACCCGTGAGCTATTTTTAATTTTTTTTTTCTTTTTTAGTAGAATTGAAAACATCGAATAATGATTAAAAAATTTAACTTTGAGTTTAAGTAAGCAAACTTTCTCCAACCCATTTGCCTAGTAGGTCTCTTCTATATCATATCCTCAATTTTTTCTGAATCTTAGCCTTCACAAACCTTCTTTCACCATTCCTCATGATTCTCTCTTTTTTCCTCAATCGACCACTCATATTTTCTTATACACTTGGATCATGGAGTTTTTTTAATGTGATTTATCAATTGAGACTTCAAGCTAAAACTACCGGTGAAACAAAACATAGAAATTTATGCACTTTAAGACGAAAAGTAGATGTACTTTTGAAATATTATTTTTTATTTATTTTCAAATTTAAATATTCTTACAAGTTTTTTTTTCTTTGTAATTTTCTTTTGGTATCTACCTCCATTCATGAGCTATCAATTTTCTTCTTTTTAAAAGAAACCATGTTTTGCATTTAGAAAAAAAAATTATGTTAGCTTACGAGTTTGAAAAAAATATATAATGGTGTGACTACCTAGGAAATAATTAATAAGCACCTTATGTTAAATTGATTTTTTTAATAGAAATTTAGGCATTGAGCTGTTTTTATTTTAAATAATTATTAGGTTGTTTTTTTTAAAGTTTAAATCAATTGAGCTTGCGCTTGGACTTGAGTTTAATTTAATAATTATTAAGTGATGTGAAATTGGAAAGAGTTATTATTGGTTGAGAAATATGAGTTGTATTAATCGAAATGTTTTGATTGGTTGACGATTTTAATGAGGTGTCAGTCCCAGAATACTCCAAAATGCTGAGGTGTCAGCACTGAAAAGACTTTTGTTGTTTTTATTGCAATACAATAAAACTACTAAGAGTCTCTCCAGCAATGACACATCAGCTTTTTAAACTATTGTGGGACTGACACATCATTAAAAATGATACCCAATCAAAACATAACAATTAATACAACTCATTTCTCCAGCATGCCACATCAACTTTCTGTGCCACATCAGATATTTATTAAAAAAATGCATCATTTTAAAAATACAACCAATCAAATTAAAACATATAATACACATACTTTCTTTTTTAATTATGATACATAGATTTCTAATTTGTGCAAAGAAAAACAAAGTCAAATTATATATAAAATGAATACACATTAGCTTATGTAATGTTGACACATAAAAAAAAATTCTTATTATTTGATGGAATTGATCAAATATCTAAATATAAACTTTATATCCATAGTTATTTTTTACATAACATATATATATATATATATATATATATATATATATATATATATATATATATATATATTTAAGACGTTTATAATAAAAAAAATTTACTATATAACTCAACAATCAACATGTACCGATTCAGTTTACACATAAATTTTTTGATATTCACATCCACCAAAATTTTGATTTTGTACTACTAGAATTTGGTTTGGTAACTATATTCTTAATTAAGCCACTAATCACTTTTATTACTTTATGTCTTACTAGAAGCTGAGATTTCATTTAAAAAGTAAAATCAATCAAATTAAAATAAATAATACACATCAGCTTTTATTATCATAGACAAAATTTATTAAATAAAATTTATAAAATATCTTAGTTGGACGAATAGTCCATATTCCTAATTGTAAGGATTGTTAAATCACTAAATAATACAAATATATAAATTTAAATAAGCTTGTCTATTCCGTTTTTTGGTTTGATTTGGTTCAATATCATTTTTAGATTTCAGTTTCGTAAATTATAGTCTGACTCTATAAACAAAATAATGATGTTAATTGAGTATATCAAATAAAAAAAGAATAAAAAAATAATGGTGACAAATATTTGTATTTTTATCTACATTTATACGGTGTAATTGCGTTATAAAATAATAGTAAAGTAGTGTTTCCTTGATTTTCTGCTAACATTGAGATTGTGGGTTTCTCCCTCAGTTACGAAAATGAGTAAAATTTTTACAAAATCCAGTAACATAATTGGAATAATAATTTTATATTAAAATTATTGTATAATTAAAATAAATTATAAGTTATCATTTTAACAAATCATTGTGATTTAAAGGTTAAAAGAATAGTTTTAAAAATTGAAAGTCTATGTTAAATATTTTAAGTGTTATTCAAATTATGGTTGTGCACCATGTATATTTTTAATAAAAAGAAAGTAAGGTTCTTGAAATATATTAGTCGCTGAAAACTATATACATATAAAAAGAATTAAGATATTTGTAAAATGTTATACACATTATAAAAATAAAACAAAACAAAAACAAAAATTGAATATACGGTACATTTATTTTATAAAAGTAATATACAACATGTATTTATTAATATATACATATATAACAAAAATAATAAAATATTAAAATTTGAGTAAACCCAATCCTAGAATCATTTCAAACTTCTATCAATCATACTTGTAATTATATTAAAAAAAAAGCTAATTTACAAAAAAATGGACTTATTAATTATCCAGATTGCATTAAAATGTTGGACTTATTATTTTCCTCTTAAAATCGACAATTGGAAAAGAAAAAAAAAACAAAGGAGACGGAAAAAAAAAATGGGGAAGACGAAGAAGATGAAGGGAAGCCAAAGCTTGAAGCAAAAGTTGCTTCTTTCGACACTTTCTTCAACACCTATCTTTTGACATGATCCTGGTATCCGCCCTCACGAGTTTAATCTTCTCTGCTACTTAGAAACTGTCACCGATGACGCAGTCGTTGAGATTTACGAGACCGGTAAGTAACGTATCACCTGAATTAGTGTTCATGACTTTAGATTTACGATTCATAGAAAAATTAACATCAAAGGGTAGTTTTGTTATTGAGCTGAAGCTAAGTTTCACCAATTAGAAAAAAAAAAATCACCAATTTATGGTTCATGACTTCAAATTTGAAGAAGGGAGGAAACTTGAGAAATTGGCTCTTGAGTTTCTGAGGAAACGTTAATTACATCTGCAGCTGTTAAGAATCAAGGGAATGATTTTGTCGTAAAGAAAGGAAGAACTGCGAAAGAAACGGTGTTTGTTCAAGCATTGAGTAGCATATCTAAGTTATGTTACTCTTAACATAAATACAACTAATTATACTGTTAACATAAACCAAAATAATTATTATGTAAACCATATAAATAAAAGAGAATATACTATTAGACTTACTACTATCGTAAACTTAAAGCGATTTTAAAACAGACAATAAATTCTCTAAATAAATATCTATCAACACAGAGTTAATTACGGCATATGGACTTTTTGCGATGGCCTTTGGGCCGGGAGCCATTTTGTGGATTTGTTTTCGGATTTGCCATTTCTTCCGACTGCGAATTTACAATTTCGCCCTTCCCACGGAAGCAGACAAAATTTTTTTTTTTGGCGTTTTACTTTACTTCTCTTCCCCAGCTTTTGCGTTTCCACGAGACGACAAGATATCATTGATTGCGTTTCGGTTTACACGCAATCAATTTCATCCCAGCTCCACGCTTCTCTCTCTCCTTCTCTACTGTCTTTCTCTTAAAAACCATTGATAACAGTTCTTACTGCATGCAAGCTACTCTGTTCTCTATTTGTCATTTCTTAATCCATACATCTTTGCGTTTCTCGATTCTCCATCATCATTTACAACCGCAAGTTTCAGGTTTGCCATTGCTTTTTGTCGGCTCTGTCACTCATCCTTAATACTTTAACCCGATTTGTTTCCGGCTTGCACTCTGGAATTTTCTCTGTTATCCGTCATGCCAATCTTCTGATATAATGGGTTGAGCTTTTATTCCAATTTTATTTTCTTACAGGTCAATGAAATCGCCAAATTCTGCTCCGTCTGGTTCGGCAGAAGAAGGTATGCTT